TTCTCACACCCTTGTTCTGGCTTGCAGAAAATGGCAGTTAATGTGTACTCTACGTCAGTGACCAGCGATAACCTGAGCCGGCACGACATGCTCGCCTGGATCAATGAGTCTCTGCAGCTGACGCTGACAAAGATTGAGCAGCTGTGCTCAGGTGAGGGGCTGCGGGTGGGAGGAACCCCAAATTCCATGTGCCCCCGCGTTCTGTAGGAATACAGCTGCGCTGTGTGAGCCATCTGTGCTGGCCCTCTGTGGCCATGCCGGTGGCTGAACTCCTGGTATGAACAGGGTCATGGTCAGTGTTATCATCTGGTTGCGGTTAGAGTTTTATTGAAATGGTTGTTAATAATGTGAGCATAATGAAAAGGCACATCCGTCTGACTCACTGCAGCGTAGGTGCCATGAGGAGGAATGGGGGTTAGCACGGAGAAAGGACTTTTAGGAAAGGGTGTTTTCCAATGGGGAATTAAGCGCTTAATCTTGATGGATGGAGTGAGTCTTACAAGTGTAGTGATGAGCATAAACAAACGTGGGCTCTTATGGAAGAGAACCGCTGCGGGGTGTGGGAGGCTGGGCAGAAGGTCGGTGTGAGGGTGACTCGTGGGTTCACCTTCAGGACTTCGCGGCTCCTTATGGTGAAGAAGCACGTCGGTCCGCGTCGCCCCGGCGTGCTGCAGCTTGAGCTGACGTGGGCACAGCTGAATCTCAGAGAGAGTTGTAGCCAGAAAAGGGGAAGTGATTGTGGGACCGAAAGGGAGTCAAGTGTCATCACAGGGAGGAGTGTTTGTGTGTGGGAGGAGGCTTGTAGCAACGAATGAAAAATAATAGTCTGCGGAGTAAGAGCTGAAAAAAACCTCAAGGCTAAAGTGCAGCCTAGGTAAAAGATGGTGATTTGGATAACTGCAACAGGCAGGTGAAAGGGACTTGGTGAAAAGTGGAAGCGCAGCTCGTACAGTGAGTTTGAGATAAGGTGTTGCTCACAGAAGGAGAGATGTGGAGATTGGAGGTGGAATAAATTTAAAATAAGTTTGGGGCTGTCGATACAGCCTGTGGAAGAAACATTGGCAGAGATTACAGAGAAGTAGAGGACTTACAATAGACATCCAACAGGTATCTGTAGTGGCTTTTGTCTAGTGAGATGATGGAGAAAAGCTGTAAGGATGAAGGAACTGAAGATCTACAACTAAGGGAAACAGGCAGGTTAAAAAACCTGTCGTGTGTGGCGTTGATTTATACGACTGAGAGGTTTTGCTTAGAATTGGTGTAAATCTGGAATGCTGCGAGAGCTCTGTCTCCGAGAAGTGGGGATGATTAACACTGGCTCGATGGAGTTTCAGCTGCCCTGTTCTCGGGAGAAGGCTGAGAGCCGTCGATGTGGTGTGCGCCGAATAACGTCCCTTGCCCGTGTCTGCAAAAACGCTTCGTGCCTCTGCAGGTACGGAAGTGACTTTCACTGTCTGTCATGGTCACGTGAAAACCGGAGTTTCCAAGCTGGCTTTGCTACCTCTGGCAAGGGCAGTAGTGACAGCAGCAGTTTGGGGTTGCATAAATGCAAAAAAAAAAACCCAAGCAAACCCTCAAAAAAACCCCACCTCGAAAGACAACCTTTGGCTTATGCTGTGATCTCTGTTTTTTTATCACGCTTGTCGCTCAGGCTGCTAACAGTTAGCACACCCCTGGGTTCCAGCAAGTCACCTAGTGTTTGAGCTGGGCAGTGGAGTTCTTCAGCAAGTGGACTGAGAGGCAGTGGAGATCAAACAGCAAGGTTCTTCATTGGCACCTAGCAATCTTCTAGTAGCAGGTGGCAGTGGGAGCCACAAACACCTGAAAAATACCTTGGTAGAAAGTGAACAGTGTAGGACTTTGTTACCCGTGCTCGAGGCGAATGGACTCGTTTAGGGCAGCACCGTGCTGTGTTACTGGTTTGCCTGTGGTGCCTCCCAAACGGCTGGCAGGTGGCGGTTTGGTTGAGGTCAAGGTTTCCATTTCTCTCCACGTGCCCTTAGTTCATTGGCACTAGTGGAGGGAATAACACTCAGAATGTTGTGCTTGTATTTTCAGTGGCACACAGCTGTGTGTCGTCACTGCAGAGTGGGGATGTAGTTTAAAAAGATCTTTTTTTTTAAATGAGTGTGTATGTTCTACAAAAGCTATTTTTTTTGGAGGTGATTGTTTGTGGCTGAACTGAATCCCTCTTTTGCTTCTGTTACAGTAAGAGCTGAGTTGAAGGACATGAAAGATTTAAAATTAATAGGAAGAAGCACTGTCCCATTTCAGTTCTTTGCTTAAGGCTTGATTTAAATATAATTCAGCTTAATTTGGCCTCTTAGCTTTGAGGGCACCTTGAGTTGTGTATAGATTCTGTTTGTAGTAAGTAAATATATCGCTGTTTTAATAAGGATTAAATATAACTTTTAGAATAATTGTTTTTCTAGTTTAGTTCTATTAGCGTTGGTAAGAGGAGATGACATGCCTGTGGGACATGTGTAGCACTTCAGATCTGTACTGATGTCCATGAAGAAAGTCCTTATTGGATTTTTTTTTTTTCTCTTGGAATTATGGAGCCAGGATTGCTCTTGGTCATGAGAGCCAAACTTTTGGTTCTGCAGCTCGCTTAAGCGTATTTACGGCTGTGCTGCACCAAAACAGGAGACTGAAGGTTCTTGTTTTCCTGTTTTGCCTTTTTGGGGTTGTGCAGCTGAGGAATGAGTCAGGTCAGTTTGCTGATCTGACTGAAGAGTAACGTACGTGGACTGGTGAGCTGACTTGATTCATCCAAGGATTTGTATTCTTTTTCTTTTGGCAGGTGCTGCATACTGTCAATTTATGGACATGCTCTTCCCAGGTTCTGTAGCACTCAAGAAAGTGAAGTTTCAAGCCAGATTGGAACACGAATACATTCAAAACTTCAAGGTTCTACAAGCAGGTTTTAAGCGAATGGGTGTTGACAAAGTAAGCTGGGTTGTAACTGATCCTCTCTGCTCTTAATATCAAAGTAGATGGAAGGTGCTTTCACATTCAGAGCTGAAAAGGTCTGGGAACAGTGTTTGCTTTTGGCTTGTAAATCTCAAAACTTTTGGTTTTGGTTCGCATTGGGGTCCTCCCTTGATCTAGGACAATATCTGCTTTACTCCAGCTAACATTAGGTTTCCAGTTCTTGATGATGAGACGAGTCATTCCGTTGAAATTCTGTGCAATTTATGTAGCACAGATGATTATTGAAATTTCTAGGAGATAAGGTTTACTGGAGCTTCCTGTTTGAACCATTGTTGCACCAGGTACATTCCCATAACCTGCTGGTGTGGTGGTCCAAAGGATTTCAGATTCCTTTTTGCAAGTGTATGTAATTTTAAGACAGTGAAAATGGGATCTGTGGGGAAAAAACCTTTGGATTGAATGATGGTTGTGTTTGTGGAAGGGTGGCTTATCTTAGGTAATAGCTACGGATGGCACGTTTGTTATGAGGCAGAACGTTTCTGTGTTGGTGTTTTTCTTCTCTTTAAGACAGCATCTCATTCCATGTTGGGTGGCAGCTTCAACATGCACTTAACAGGGCTTCTGCTGGGAGGGAGGTGCTGGTGCAGTGTCTGGACCTGGAGAGCCAGCTGTGATCACGTAACGGTGGTGGCTCCTGGCCCCTGCCAGCCTGTGGGCTCTCAGCTCATGGCCACAGACAAGACTTCACAACTTGCTGCATCTTTGTGATAATCTTGGCTTGTGCTCCTGGTTCCCGAGAAGCTGTAACTGTAATGACTAAAAAGGGGATGCTCAGGTCGTGGGCGGCTCTGCGTTCGCAGTCTGTGCGCTCAGTCAGCTCTCAGCTCCGTGAACGCGAGCGCTGGATGAGCCCGCTGCGGTTTGCAGAGGGAGGTTTTGTGTTGAGACTTGCTGCAGCAGGAACCTCGCTGCAGAATTGCTTAAAGTTCTGTGCACCCTCACAGTGAAAGCATGATTTGTTTTTAATTCCAGTTATTAGCAAAAATCCTACTATGACATACGGTTATGTTCAAGGAGAATTTTATCTAGACTGGACAAAGAATTACATTTGTGTATCTTCTAAGTGCACTAATTTTAGAACTTCATATAAAAAGAGAGAGAGAGAGGTTCTTTACCCTTAATATGAGTTTGACTTTTTTTTTTTTCCCCTCCTCCAGATAATTCCTGTGGACAAACTAGTGAAAGGAAAATTTCAGGACAACTTTGAATTTGTTCAGTGGTTCAAAAAATTTTTTGATGCAAACTATGATGGGAAGGAGTATGACCCTGTTGCTGCTCGACAAGGCCAAGAGACAGTAGCACCAAACCTTGTTGCTCCAGTTGTGAACAAACCCAAGAAATCTCTCAGTTCTAGCAGTGCAGGTAGAGAAAATAGTTAAAAGATTATCTAGATCGTTAAAAACTCTGGGGAAAATAAGACTGGGTTGCTCTTTAAAATCAGTGTATGAAGTCACAGTATTTTCCATCTCGTTTCAAAGATGCTGGGCTTCAAACATGGAGTCATCCTGTAGCACCCAGTTACCTGGAAGCTACAGAAAGAACAATCTTCTCTAAAAGAGAAAGTGGCAAGGATTTGTGCCGATGCATGCTGAAAAAAAATGGGACATGTCACGTGGAGTCAAGAAAAAGGAAGGAATATATCTTCAAAGTCCTACGTGCCTAAGCGTGTTCGGAAGGGGGATAGTACCTTTACAGGAGGAAAAAGGGTGTTCTGAGAGGAACTAACACTGAATTGATCTTGCAGCCCCACAGAGGCCCATCGTTACGCAGAGGACCGCAGCGACTCCCAAAGCTGGTACTGGGATGGTCAAGAAGGCTGCAGGAGATGATGAATCAGCAGGATTGATTGAGCAGGTGTGTTGACCGAAATGGCCCTGTGTGCTGACCTGTGCTTTGTAGGTTTATGTGCAGATTTTTGTTTTTTAGCAGCACGACATGACTGGGTCAGGCAGATGGAATTAAAACGATCTGAGTCTAGTAAGCTCGTTTAGAATCGCTTCGTCGTAACGGTCCGGCTCTCGCGACAGGAGCGAAACCCTCTCTGCAGTACACGAGTACCCCGGCATTAACCCCAGTGTGCGCCCTGTCACACACAGCCTTGGTTTTAGGTATTTCCACAGCTGCGGTGCAGCTACCACGGCATTCCAGCCGAGCCAGGAGCAGCTGCTGCTTCCCTGAAATACTGAATGTCGTACAGCTAAAGCCGCTGTCAGCGCCAGGGCTGGCTTGAAGGAATGTGGTAGTAAAGAAAAACCACGGGCAGTTAGTGCTTTACCTATTTCGTGTAAGAAGCCTTCAGAATTTCCCAGTGGTACTGGACTGGGTGTTTGTTGTGGCCATAATAACACAATTTGAGAACCAGACCTTTTCCTCCTCTCCCAGTCCCTTCCCCCCATCTGGGCTCCTTCCGAAGTGCTTTCCATATTCGCACCCCGCGGGGGACGCGGGGGTCTCTGCCTTTGGAGCAGGTACTGCCGAGTTCTGTCTTCGGTGAGTAAGTGGTTACTGATGCCCTTTGGCAGATCAATGTGTTGAAACTTACTGTCGAGGACCTGGAGAAGGAGAGAGACTTCTACTTTGGCAAATTGAGGAACATCGAATTGATCTGCCAGGAGAACGAAGGGGAGAACGATCCAGTGTTGCAGAGGATTGTGGAAATTCTTTATGCCACAGATGTGAGTAATCTGGTACAAATTGTACCGTGTGCTTCCTCCCTCCCCTTGTAATTGGAAGCTGGTTTGCTTTCCAGGGCTCCCTCTATTTCTACTTGTTTTTTTTTTTTTTTCTTGTAGGTTTATGGCCTAGCTTTTTCCTGTAATAAAGGAACAGATAACATAATTGTAGTCAGGCAGCAGACGAGGTTAGCCTTTCATGAAAAGTATGTAACAAATAGATCAAAGATGAGGAAAATAACTCTTCTGGTAATATATCTTGATGTTGTAAGTGCTGACTTAAGGATATCTATCCAAAGTAAAGGAAGAGAAAAGTGTACAGAGTAGCCAGGAATGGTTTGACATCAGATTTTCATTAAAGCACGTGTTTTGTTCCCCTTCAGGAAGGCTTTGTGATACCTGACGAAGGAGCACCGCAGGAGGAACAAGAAGAGTATTAACAGACCACATACTGTACCAGCAGAGCAGCAACATCAGAATTCTTTGCCCCAGATCATGTGCTTAACTGTAAAATACTCCACTTTATTCTTAGAGGACTCACTGGTTTCTTTCCATAAGCAAAAAAGTACCTCTTCTTAAAGTGCACTTTGCGGAAGTTTCACTTTCTACAGTGGGTTTGAGTTAGGAGCTCGTTCTCACTTTGTAGCAGAGCAGTATTCACATCTAGGTGGTATATTTAGGGAGCAAGAGGCTGAATATTTGGAACTCGTTGCAGAAGGGTTTGCTGGTAAAACACTGGTTTGCGGGAAGACTCTTGTTGTATCCGAGGTGGTGTGTAGTAGAGAAATTAAAAGACTCTGACTCACAGAAAGATGGAATAAATGTGAAATTGCAGCACAGAAATTATAATAAAATGCCTTAAGAGTATTTAAAATATGCTTCCGTATGCCAAATTGAAGTAATGTGACGGGAGATTTTATGTGCTTCGTCCTGGGGTAGGCGCTTGTTGAACTCCACTCCCTGCTGTCGGAGAGCCACGCGTGGCAACCTCGCCTTGTCAGCGGGCGCTCGAAAGGGGCTGTTGAAACAAAACTCCATTCCTGTCTGAAGCTGCTCACGAAGTGATTAGTTCTCCATGAAATAGGCCTTAACGTTGCCTGGCACAAGATTAGAGGGAGTATGAACAGCTGAGACACATAAATTACCTTGAAGAGTGCTAAAGCCTTTTTTCTGTGGCATTGTGGCTAATGACTTTGCCAAAATGTACTGTGTTTTCTGTAAGAGAAACAAAATAACGAAAAAAAGAGAAAAGGACGTCCAGTCTGACTGCCTAAAATGTTCTGATCAGAAGTAATTTTCCTTCCTGGCTCTTGTTGCTATTTGTCCTGTTTCTTTTTATTTTCGTTGGCACACTTTTTGGTCTCTCGCTTGTTCTTTTTGCTTTCCCATCCCGGGGAACACTGATCAAATCCCATAGTTGCAGCAGGACTTGCACCGTGCAACTATCTTAGCATGAAAGTGAACTGAGCACGTAAGGATTATTATTTTTCTGTCTCTTTTTTTTCTTTTTTCCTTTCAGACCAGGGCATATATAATAATACTTGCCAGTTCAGTAGTCGTCTGGGGTAAAAGCTAAAAGATGCTGGCTAACAGAGCTAATGTTATTGCAGAAAATACAGTACTGAGACTAACTTAAATATTAATATTTAAAGTACTTTCCTTAACTGTCTTTTTTTTTTTTTTTTTGCTATCATACCCCTCATTACTGTTGTGTTTGGCAAGATCCTGCAAGACTTCTGATCCCCCTTCACTACTGAGATTGATCGGTCCTGTTGTGCTTGTATTCATTCGTTTCTGGTGGTAGCTTGTCCTAAAATGTGCGTAGGAGAGCATTTTATGGTAATTGTTGTGTAGTGCATGAATCTTTGTGAAATTCAGAGAAAAACCCAAATTCAGTGAATGCCAAAAATGCAAGTATCTAGCCATTGTTTGAAATTGCAGTGGTGCTATTTCTCTTGTGGCCTTTTAGACGTTCGTTGCCCTAAAACTCCATTTTACTGAGAAACCATATTTGACTTGGATTTTTCTTGACAGGGTTTTTCTATTTTAAGCAGTTTCTAAATAAAGTTCTGTATTTCAAGAGTGTCATGTCTGCTGGAGTCTCTCGTGCTTTCAGATACCATTAGGCAGAGCTAAAGTGGGTGATGGTTTTCACGTTGAAGCTTGCAGGACCTGGAATATCAGCTCTCATTCTCCAGTCCTAGTTCTAGTCGGTGCTAACTGGAGTAGCAGTCGTGTTCAAACTCTCCTGGGAGTGTGCTGGGGGAAGCCACTGCTTGAGTTCTGGGTTGGTTTTTCCCCCTTGCTCCCCCCCCAAGTGGATGGAGTGTGAGTGTGGTGTTGGCTTCGTCCTCCTAATGGTGTGAGAATGGGGCTGTGTAACAGGAATGCTGTCACATGACTTTAAGCGTGTTTTAAGTGTTTGAAAACTGCTAAAACACTGCTTATTAGTCACAAACAAGACGTTAATTGCATCTGTGGCCAGTCTCTGTGAGCAGATTGTGAACTTGATGTGTTTCATTTGAGGTCACAGACGCGTGCGCAGACCAGCGTCTTCGGAGAAGTGCTTCTGTGATGTATCTAACCTTGAAATTGGACGTGTTCCCTGCAGGGCTTCTCTGTCGTGCTGGAGAACCCCCCCTGCCCCCGGAGGGCTCTGTGGAGGCCTTATTCTGCAGAATGGGCATTGCTGGCGATGCCTGCTGGGGCTGGGCTACAGACGTGCAGACGTAGAACCGGGGTTTTGATGCACATAAAATCTTCGTTACCATTACTTACGTGCTTTAAGGTCGGAAGCATATTTTTTTCGACTCTAAATATTCCATTGTTCCAGCAACTCAAAGCAAAAGCTGGCAATAGGACGTGGCTGAATTTGAAGAGGACTTCTTGGGTGTCTGCTCTTTGCAGTCCAGTTGCGCGCTGGGACCTGGTTGCTTCAAGTCTCCTTGTAACGGGTTTGCATGTGTGGAACTGTGAAGCACCCGGGTCGTCAGGTGGGTCGCATTAGGTTGACTTGGATCTCTGTGAGCAAAGCAAGCAAACCTCCTTTCGTTCAAAGAGACTGATGGGTCAGAAACAGCTCGTGCACGTGTGGGGCTGCCGAACGTGTGGACGTGCCTCGTGAAACCGAGTGGGAGCTGCAGCCCTGTAAGTCAAACGCCGCCGCGATTTCCGATCGCTCACACCACTTCTTTGCTACCGAGATGAGTTATAGATAGAATGGGGGCAAACTCACCTAGTCAACTTGTGACTATGTCATAGGTATCTTGGCATAATCTGTTTTTTAATGTCCTTTTTGAGAAGAAAATAACAACAATGGGCCCAACTCAAACCCGTAGGCTTAACGTAGCTACTCTGTTACACTGGTACAGTATATGCTCTTAAAGATTAAGTGCTCACCTGCCAGAAAGCTCCAGTAGCATCCAGCCTTTCTTACTGTCTTAGTTTTATCAGGTATTTGAAAAATGAACAGAATGGAAGAAGCAAAAGCTCACATCTCCGTTCTGTACCAACATGTCTTACTTGCAGGTGGACTTGTGGATGTTTTTTTAACTTTGATTGTTTGATTTTTTTAAAAATTCCTGGTTTGCAATGACAATTCTTACTGTAACTGTTAAAAGCCTTCAAATAAAGGCCAAACCCATGTTTGCTGTTGTATCATGGCACTGTTTAATGTGGCCGCTCGAGGCCTCGGCGTGTGGTCTGTCCAGTCGAGTGTCTGTCCGCGGGGACGTGCGTGTCCTTCAGGCGTGGGAGCTTTTCTGTCTTAGAACATCTTCCCAGGGATGGGGCTGGAACCTGCTTCTCGCAAGAGAAAGGTATTTTTTGCAAGTCAGTGTAAACCTGATGAGAACTGGATCGTAGATTCCAGTCTGCCCCGGTGGCATGTGGACCGTGCCTGACGTACGTCTGGGCTGGCAGGGGTGCCACCGCCCGGGCTACTGGCAGGGAGAACCAACGTGCGTCAGGGCACCTGCGCGTTGTCAGCAGCACAGCTGGAGAATTAACTCATCTTTTGGTGCAGAGGAGGCGAGGAGGGATGGAGTCATTGCAGATGTCATTGCAGATCTGCGTCTGGGTAGCTGGAACACGAAAGTGCAAGCGGTTTGGATGAGAGTGTGGAACGCTGTAACTGGTGATGCTTAGAATGCAGCGAGCACAAACGCAAACTGGTTTTGCTGAAAGGGGACCTGAGCAAATTCTGCTGGTAAGTAAGATCTCCTGGGATGGGATTTTGTGTCCCAGTTCCTCACAGACGCCGCGTTGGGATAGCTGGTGGGCCCAGAATGAGGGGCAGGGTGGGTGTGAAACCAGCGTGACTAGAGAACCTGGAAGGTGTACATGGACGTAGAAACTAGGGGAGGTTGTGGGTGGAAAGGAACACGGTACGTGCAAAGGAACGAGCTCGTGCTGTGAAATGATAAAACCTGATGTGGGAGAACACTTTTAAGGAAAGGAGGGAAAAGTGCCGTACTCTGCGGCTAAACAGGAACAACGGGTGCACGAGCACTGGGCAGGGAGCGGTACTGCGGAGGAGGAGCTGGTGTTGGTACAGGCAGAGTCCGTCCAAGGAAATGGAAAACAAAGAGGGTTTCTTTTTTGAGTAATATGTGTCAAATAGAAGGATCGGGCTACCTGGAAGAAAACGCTATTTTTGAGGATATGTGTACTTACGCTGTCATCAGGACAATAGTATCTTGCAAGAAAATGTTTGGTTTTCTTTACTCTTTAACAGAGAAGGAACAAAGTTAAACTTAACTCCTGAAATTTCCTAAGACCAAAAAGAAAGTTCCCAGAAGGCAATCGCAGCTTGGAAGAGGCAAAGGCCACTTTCTGTAAAAATTACTTTTCTCTCTTTTTCAACACAGCTGGCCAGCTGTATGAACTGCGGCCTTTGAAGGAAATATATATATATGTATATATATAACATGTTGGTATATAGTTAAATGTATAAATGTCTATTAAACTATATATATTTAAATAATATGACAAGAAACGTATAATAATATTAAAGTATCATATATAAATATTATATATTAAAAAAAATCTTTGACCTGTCAGAACTGTAGAAACACAAACTGGTGTAGTTTTTGTTTTTAAGTCTGGGAAATGTTTTGCAGACATCTTCCTCTTGAAAATAAGTTTGTAAGATGGTTGTCTGTCAATCTTCTCATAGTGCTCTGCCTCTGATTTTGTCCCCAGGGGATGCACAAGGATGAACGGACATTCAGGAGGCATTAAATCTCTTGGGACAGCATGGATATAAATCTCGACATATTCAGAGATCCGCAGATTGATGTTTATGAAGCGATGAGCAGCTGAGGTTAAAATGAGGGGACAGTGGAGGTGGGTCCATTTCCAAAACCTGAGTACAAACCCATATTTAATCTTGGCTTGTCTCTTGAAGGGCTTTCTGGGAAAACGAGGAGGAAAACCGACAGAGAGGTTTGTGGCAGTGGCTGTCAGGAGGATGGTGGAGCTCCACAGCAGCCCCAGGGCAAGGTGGGGAGGTGGAGCAGACCCTGAGGGATGTCTCCCTGTGACCAGTGGGTGCACAGGGGAGGTGGGAACAGATGAAAGGGTGAGTAGCACCACAAGAAGTGACAACTGATGATCCAGTCTGATACTGTGCTGAAGATGAGTCACACAGAACTCCTGGAGGAATCTGTTTTCTTTCTCTTGCAGATAAGGCTGCTCTTTCAGAACCTCCCTAGAAATCCCAGTCACAGTAGATCCTTATTAAATACTTGGATGGATATGAAAAGCCTAAGAGCTCCCAGTTTCCTCCTATGTAATAAAGGATTGAGAGCTCTTCCTTCTTACTGCCGTGTTATTAAGTTGGTTTGAGTCATGTGGGCCTGGGAGGTTGGTTGTGTGGTGATGAGCAAGTGCAGGGCTTGGCACTGCCATGGCCACCCTGACAGTTTCATCTGAGCTGGCGAATCTTAAACGAGCTGGGGTGTGAGCTGCAGTCGGGCATTGTCGGGGAGAGCTGGTCGTGAGGTTCCTGCATTCATCTGACATTTCAGGCCGGGCTGCTCTTGTTTAATGGTCTCTTAGTCTTCGAAAACAGCTCAAGGGGAACGAGCAGCCATGGTGCAGGTTAGTAGAAAGAAAAAAAAAAAAATTAAAAAAATCTGCATTCTCTAGCTCTGGTAAAACATAATTTGAATGGGCTCAATGAAACAGCTGCAAGAAGCCGCTCATTGCTCTGAAGGTTCTTTGAAACTTTTCGTCACTGCTTGGGGGTTTTGTATCACCTTTTTTTTCATGGATGAATAAATAGTTTTAAGCTCACATAAAGACATTGAAATGAGTAGATGGTGTAAGCCCTGCCAGCCAGATCTACAGGAGGGAGGATGCTCTCGGGGCCCTTAGACATGGGGAGAAAAGTTTTTTTTCTGCACTAGAAGTTTCCTGCAGCGCTCTTCGGTCAGAAGGACGTGTGCGCAGTTATCCCTGCCTTCGAGGCTGCTCCGGGTTCACGTAATCCTTCTGCAGGGGAAGTTTTGTTTTCCGTGCGGAGCGAACTGTTGGGAGACTTGACCAAAGTCTCACCCTGCTGCTCTCTGGGCGGATGAGCCCCCAGAACCCACCGCGCTGGAGCACCGCTGCATCAGCCGTGCCCGCGGCGTCGGTGCCCTCTCTATCCGGGCGATTTCCCGTTAGCTGCACCACAGCTGGGGGTGGAAACCAGTGCTGCTAAGGAGGGGCTGAAATTTGCTGTAAATGACCAAAATTGGGGCTTAACTCTCGTGTTATCCTGAATTTCTCTCAGCTGGCTGCGGTCCCACGGGGCTGTTCTCTGTAGGTGTTATCACGCCAGCAGGAGAGGAGAGCTTGGTCCCTCGGGTGGTGGAGCTGCCCAAGCAGAGGCCGTTTCTTATCGCCAGAGATAGTGTCGGAACCAGTAACCTTGCAAGAGTCTTCCGGGGTATTTGCTGTACGGCAGCTCTTCCTCCGCTTCTGCAGGACGTAATTATGAGGCTCTGTGTGCCGTAAAAGCTCCATGCAGCCCGTTCTTGAATCAAACTGGTTTTCAGCCCGAGGTCAAAGGCTGCCTTTCAGAGATGCCTCCTGCGC